CAATCGGTAGGAATACTTGCATCATAATGTGACAATCATGGGATTTCATACTTGTCAGCTTCAATTCTCCATTTAAGGTTACAAATCTTTTCATGTTAGATGAGTACCCTGATGGAACCTTAATGTCGTACATACATGCACAAAACATACGTTTCTCTACCCTTGGCAATGTATAGCAAGCCGGGGGTAAATAATTCTTTTCATCCTTCCCTTTACCCTCAACTTTCTTCTTTGACGCATCTTTGGCCTTTCCCTTTCCCTTGCTCTTCTCCTTCCCTTTTTTCGAAACATTTTCATCTTATTTTCTCGGTTCCTTCCCCTTTCTAACCTTTTCTTGAGGCCACAATTCTAGACGAATCCCCATCTCTTTCAAATCTAACCGTGCACCCTTTCCGTCCTTTGTTTTGTCTTGGATATTCATAAGCGTTCCCAAAAGAGCATCACACTCATTCTTCTCTATATGCATCACATCAAGACAATGCCTAACATCATGTTCTCTCCAGTACAGAAGCTTCCAAAAGATTGATTCTTTCTTAAACAGAGCAGCTGAGACCACAGTTTTTTCTGATTTTCCAAACACCGTTCGTATCCCTTTCACCCGAGCACAAATATTAGCACCAGTCAATGGTCTAGGCGCAGTATCGTCTTCCACGGTTCCATTGAAAGCCTTTTTCTGCCTACGGTACGGGTGATCACGCCTAAGGAACCTTCGAGTTCGTAGGTAGACATCTTTGTGAGAATGAGTAAGTTATACGCTTGATGTGTCATCAATACATATGGGGCATGCTTTTTTCCCTTTGACCTTGTACCCACACAAGTTTCCATATGCAGGGAAGTCATTCATGGTCCACATAAGGGCTACACGCAATGTGAACATCTCGTTCTTATGAGCATCATAAAAAGAAACCCCTTCGTCCCATATCTTTCTCAAGTCGTCAATAAGCGGCACAAGGTAAACATCTATGTCGTTTCCAGGTTGCTTAGGACTAGTTATTAGCAATGAAAGCATTACATACTTACGTTTCATGCACAGCCAAGGAAGCAAATTATAAATCACTGGCCATGTGCTGTGTTGGGTACTAAGAGTGCCAAATGGATTCATCCCGTCCGTGCACAACCCAAGCCTTAAATTTCTGACTTCATCACCAAATTCCTCAAACTTCAAATCAATGTTCTTCCACTGTGGAGAGTCAGCTGGATGCTTCAGCATTCTGTTTTTCTTTCTTCCCTCTGCATGCCACCTCAAGTTTTTAGCGTCTTTTGGTATTGAGAATAGACGCTTAAACCTTGGGATAATGGGAAGATACCACAACACCTTAGCAGGAGGTCCCTCCGTGCCAGGATTGCAACTCATGCGCTTGTAGCGCGACCGCTTGCATCGTGGACACTCTAGCAGTTGTTCATACTCATTTCAATACAGAATACAGTCATTAGGACATGCATGTATCTTCTTATACTCCAAACCAAAGGGACACATGAGCTTCTTTGCGTAATAGTAAGACTTAGGAATTTCATTCCCATCAGGCAACATATCACTTAATGCGGTCAACAAAGAAGTAAAACTAATGTCCGTCCACCCATGGTTCGACTTAATGTTGAAAAGTGTTAGCACGACCAATAGTTTAGAGTATTTTTTGCACCCGAGATACAAAGGCTTTTTGGAAGCCTCCGATAATAACTCAAACACTCCACCTTCAACACCATGCAACATCTCATCCACTTGTTCATCCTCGACCTCATCCGCCTGATCATCATCGGCTCCATGATCACCATTATCAACAATATAGTCATCATTCTCGTATTCCTCGTCCACATGAATCTCATTGCTTCTAACACGCACATCATTCCGATCAAGATCCCCACTGTACTCTCCACTTTCTCCGTGCCAAATCCACACATGGTATAATTGCCTAAACCCACGACATAATACATGATCTCTAATGATTTCAACACTATCGACCACATTCACATTATTACAATCAACACAAGGACAATAAAGGCCTTTTCCACCCAGTTTGCGTTGATAAGCTAAAGCCTTCTCGCAAAACTCTTGAACCACATTCCAAAATTCCAATGTATCGCGTCTACCATACATCCAACCACGATCCTTCTCCATTTAGTAAATTGTCTCTAAAAATATATAGCAACATATAATGAATAATGTGTAATTGCTACATATTTTATGTAAATCAAATTCAAGTACAAAACGTGAATATACCATTCATATAGTGAAAAAATGCATGTTTCCAAAGGGTCCTTATCACTCCAACCTAACCCATCCTTGAATGTCTACTCTCACTAGTGAATGTATGTCAACTTTCCAATTTTAAGGAAAATTCGGCAGCATTTCCCCCAAGTTCTCCAAGTACACGATGTAGATAATTAATTACCCACATATGTACCTAGAGAACATAGTGAGGAAATGGTAAGCCAAGATGTCCCTTAAAATCGAAAAGAAAACATACATTCACCACCTAAGTGAGAGTACACATTCAAGAACAGTCCCAACCGGGGACTATTCAAGACTTTCTCCTAATGAGAAAGTCTTGAACGGGTATCTAGGCATATGATGATGCAAGTATTCTATATATTGTTGTATTTATTTGCAATTAAACAATACACAAGTTGCAATTTCATGAATAAACTTTTATTAAATGGATAAATAGAAAGAAATATAGCTAAGTAAAGTTTATAAGTCATACCAATATAACAACTACCTACTTGAGCTCAATATGTAGTCCTCAAGCTAAACTCGTGCTTCAATTCACAAATCTAAAAAAACAAAAATTAGCAACGTCACTAATTCTCTAATATCTTCACAATTCTCTAATGTATTCACAATTCTCTAATTTATTCACAACTAATTAAGTGGCAATATCACTATTTCTCTAATTTATGCACAATTCTCTAATTTAATCACAATTCTCTAAATTATTCACAATTCTCTAATGCAATCACAATTTTCTAATTTATTAACAATTTTCTAATTTATTCACAACTTATTATTAACAAGGTCACTAATTCTCTAATATATTCACAATTACCCATTAAAACAACCTAAAATTACACGTAATAACATACCAAAATTCAACTAATTAAGTAACATTTTTACTAATCTCTACTATATTCAAAAGTACTCATTAAATCAACCTTAAAATAACCCATTAAAACATACAAAATTTTCAACTAAGGAACAATGTAATGCAAAATTACTCTAATCTACAATATGTATTCAAAATTTCTAAAACAACCAATTCAAAAATTAAAAAAATTAGGGTAAATTATATACATTCCTTGACTTTAATTTTCTTAACAATAATTGTTCAAAATGCTATTGAAAATAATAGAATTACATATTTCAAAATAATTGTTCAATTTTTTAACAAAAAAATAAAAACTTACCCTAAACTAGTTGGAGGTGGAAGAATCTAAGGGGAGGAGAGATTGAGGACGACCCTCGGTGCTGGAGGAAGCAGCGGTGGTGCGCGATGGTGGAGGCAGCGCTGCGGTGGAGTGGTGGAGGCGGTGCGCGGTGGTGGAGGTAGCAGCGATGGCTGTTGTTTTCGAACAATGCTAAGGGATTTAAAGAGAAAGAAAGGGAAAACAGAAGGGCAGGGGAGGATTGAAAGAGAGGGGCGGTGGTTTTTGACACCTCTAGTGGCCGGTGAAGGTGGCGGCTGTGGTAGAGGGAAAGGGGGAGGGTGTTCAGTTTGCTCTAATGAAACAGTGAAGCTAAGGGATAGAATGAAGGGAATGAAAGAGAAAGAGAGGAAGAAGAAGGAAAAGGCCGCGTTTTTTTTTTTTTAATTTGGCACCGGTTCAATTGGCACCGGTTCAAACCGGTGCCTTTTTTATTTTTGGCATCGGTTCAGGCCAAACCGGTGCCATATCTCTTGTTCTAAAATCTCGCCCATTTCTAGACCGGTTTCGGCCACCAGTTTGGCCTGAACCAGTGCCATATGGGGGCTGCCTATTGCTACTTTTCTACTAGTGCTTTTTCGGGCCCAAGGTTTACTTGAACAAACAAAAGACAAGGAAATCAGCTTATTATGGAAAGATTAGATAGAGCGTATGCATCTTAGGAGTGGTTTCAAGATTTTCCCGAGGGAAAAGTTTTTCATGAACCAATTATTACTTCGGATCATGCTGCTATCATGCATAATACTATGCCTTCGGCTCCGCATTCAAATAGACCATATCAGGTGGAAAATTGGTGTTTGTCTTTACCGGCGGTGAACTCTATGGTCGAAGAAGCTTATGATATGCCTTTGGTGGGCTCGGATATGTTTCAATTATTACAACAGTCGAAATGGTTACGACACAAGTTATAGGATTGGTGTTTAAATAACAAGAAGCTTTGGGGAGTGAATTGGAGAAAATCCTCCCTAATTCTAGCATCACAGAGTGCAAGTATTAACAATTTAAATCAAGGGTCGAATTTTATTTTTACAGTCAATGAGAACCTTGACCAAGCTACTTTGGGGTTCACGTATTGGCAGCAAAGGATGAAAGAAAAATGGATCCAATGTAGGGACATGCCGTCTTCAATGATGTACAATAGGGTTAAACAGCGCCAGAAGCGTCGGGAGATTCTTACCCTTCATGATGGTAATGATGTGTGGACCACGGGGCAACAAGAGGTTCAAAATATAATTACAACCTCCTTAATGGAGGTTTTTAATCCGGTGATTGATGATCCAGAGGGAGTGGGTGAGAGAATTGATCTCGTTCTTCGGGAATTGGACCTTCCCCGTTTAGATGTAGAGGAAGGCTTGCTACTGATCAGGCCTTTCTCGGCTCAGGAGATAAGAAAGGCGATGTTCTTTATACATAGTCTTAAATCTCCTGACCCGGATGGATTCATTGCAAAAAAATTTCACCGACATTGAGACAAGGTGGGAAGTATAGTTGTGTCGCAATCCTTTTTTAACACGGGATACTTACTTAAGGAGTTGAATTCGTCTATTTTGGTTATGATTCCCAAGGTGGATAATCCGGAGATGGTAGCTCACTTCCGTCCGATTAGTTTATGCAACACCATCTACAAATGCATAGCTAAGAGTCTGGTGAATAGGATGAAGGGATTACTTCAGAATCTTATAATGGAATATCAACATGCTTTTATCTCGGGAAGATACATGGAAGATAACATTATTTTAAGTCATGAGTTACTTCATTTAATCAACACCAACAGAGGGGAAGTTCATAAGGCGGCGATCAAGATTGACATGTCAAAGGCCTATGACAGGGTGAACTGGCTTTTTCTCCTAAAAATCTTACAGGCCTACGGGTTTCCTCCGAGATGGGTGCAGTGGATTTCTCAATGTATCTCGACGGTGTCATACAGAACCCTGGTGAATGGACAGGTGTCAGAAGCTTTTAAGCCAAGCTGTGGTTTAAGAAAAGGGGATCCTCTCTCCCCTTATCTCCTTTTGTTCTGTATGGATATCCTTTCAAAAATGTTGATCATGGGAGGGAATCTAGGCCAAATTAAAGGGCTCAAGGTAACACGGAGATCACCCTCGATCTCACATTTATTTTTTGCTGACGATGTTATGATTTTCTTGCAGGTAACTAAGGAATCATGTCAGAATCTAACGAATATTATTGATAGATATGGAGGTATTTCAGGCCAACGCTTAAATTTGGGGAAGTCTTTTGTGAAGTTCAGGAATTTGGTTCCGAGAAATCAGATGGAGGAGTTTAAGGAAATTCTCAAGATTGGTCAAGTCCAGAATCTAGGTCTCCATTTGGGGGCTCCGGTCGATCTTGCCCGAGGAAAGAAGGATTCTTTTCAGTATATGATCGATAAGGTGGTGCAGAAGATAACAACCTGGGGGACGTTGAGGATTTCTCAATCAGCAAAATTAATCCTGATAAATTCAGTTCTAATAAGCATTTCTTCTCACGTTATGAAGTTCCTTAAACTTCTGGGGTACATTGTGAGTAAAATTGATGCACTAATTGCGAGATTCTTTTGGGCCAAAAATGGGGAGAAGGGTATGCATTGGGTTGGGAAAGAAACTTTACAACTCCCAAAAGGAATGGGAGGACTTGGGGTTAGGGGAATGGAAAACCTCAACGATGCTTTGTTGTTTCAACAGGTGGCTAGGATGCATTGCAACCCGCAGATCTTATTGCCTATGCACTCTTGCACCATGTGTGATAGGCGTCCTCATTCCGAACTAAGAGGTAATGCATCATGGGGCAGACGAGGTTTCCACAATGTAGCTAACAAATTTTCTACGGGTTTTTCTTGGAAAATTGGGAATGGGGAGAAGGTCAAATATGCGAGTATGAAGTGGGTAAATGGAGAGGTGCCGATCCTCAAGTCTAGTCTTGTGCTGAGGGGAATGGGGTTAGGCATGGTCAGGGACTTAATTAATAATTCTTCGGTGAAAGAATGGAAGGCGGAGGTGGTACGTGAGAAATTCGAATGGTCTTTAGCACAACAGAATTTAGACCTGGAGCTTCCGGTGGTGGAAAATGAAGATTTTTTGTATTGGCAAGCTCACAAGTCGGGGAGGTACACGGTTAAGATAGGATATGTCTTTTATGCCAAGATAACAGGGAGGAGCTTAGTAGCCCGGGGGAGGAACAATTGTTTAAACTCATTTGGAAGCTGAAAATTCCTCCCAAATGGAGCTTATTCTTATGGAAGCTCATTTTGAATGAGTTAGCTATTAAGGCTAATTTGCATCATAGAGGAATTCCGGTGGACGTTCTGTGTAGCGTGTGCGGCGATATTGAGGAGGATGCTCAACATCTTTTTCGATTGTGTTCTTTGGCTAGGTATGCGTGGCTTGCTTGTCCGTTGCATATCAGCTCTGAAATTGATGGGTCTACTCCTTTGCAACAATGGATCCAGAGACATATCCTGCTATTTTATAACGAGGATGGTATTTCTAGTGACTGTATACACACTTTTATTGGTGTGCTGTGGGGCCTTTGGATGGCTAGGAATGGGAGAGTTTTCAGAAATGAGGACGATCACACGTCAAGTCTGGTAAGACACTTAGACTTAGCTGGAAAGGAGTTAAATGTCTTCCTAAAGCCAGATGGTGGAACCGCGGGAATTTTACAGGAGTTGAGGCCCGTGGAGGGGCCCCCACCAGGATTTCATAGAGTGCACATGGGTGGTGGTAGTAACTTGTCCAATAGGTGGGATGACAATTTTCGAGAGGTGACAATCATATGTGATGGGTCGTGGCACAAACAAATAGGTAATGGTGGCTTTGGTTGGGCTTATGCTACCCATGTAGGGGTTTATGTAGATGGTGGGGCCGTGGGGGTGGTTTTTGCAAGGCTAGTGCGGCTTTGTGTACGGAGCTGAGGGCTTGTCTAGAAGGTATCCGGTGGGCGATCCGTAAAGGTTTTACCAACATTTTGGGTTTATAAGGATTCGAGTGAAGTGGTTAACCTGATTCTTAACTCGTTTAGGGGGTGACATGCGCTTCTACTGGATAATACGAGAACTTCGGAAATAGGGGAACCTCTTACAAAGGTGTGTTGTTTGGAAGGTAAGTAGGGAACAAGTCCGGAAGGCGCACATTTTGGCAAATACATGCCGGACCAGTATGATTAGCTTCAGTGTTATATATATATATATATATATATATATATATATATATATATATATATATATATATATATATATATATATATATATATATATATATATATATATATATATATATATATATATATATAATTCTTCTTTAAGAAAACTGAACTTATTTTTACTGAAGTGAAATTATTTTTGCTAAATATTTTTTTTTAAGGTGAATAGAACAGGGCCTTATATTCCTAGACAACTCGAATGGTATACAAACATTTCACACATTTTAAAACCTCAGAATCATTTTGAAATTGAAAAACAGAGGCCCTAAATTTATCCACTATGTTTGGGAGCATCAGTTCCAAAGAATTTTCATTCCAAATTGGCAGTAACACGAGAAAAACAGGGTCCACTGATGATCACAAATTGGAACAACATGAGAAAAGAAGGGTCTACTGGTTATTTGCGAAATTGCAACCCAAATTAATTTATATATGATAGTTTTTGTTTGGGAACCATGAGCCCCGAAATTTACAACTGTGTGGATGCCCATCAGCCATCGCCTATCAAGACTAGATCACAACCACCATATAAATTGCAACAAGGATAAAATTGGAAAAAAAAAATGCAAGACTTGATTGGTATCATATAATGATACACGTGATAGGGGGAGAGATAGTGATAAATGTTTGCATAAAAAAGAAAAAAAAAATTGCACATAATGTCTTAACCATTTTTTATAAATGTTGCACATAATATAAAACCAAGGTAAGACTAATTTTATTCACTTCATTATTCTCATTCCAAGTCATGGTTTCTTAATAGCATTAATACCTGAAAGGCTGAAATATAAGAAATTACATATGTGACACCTCTTGTGCACTTGCAAGATTTTTCTACAATAAATCACACAAAATAATTATTACTGGGCCAAACTTCTACTCAAAAATAGAATTTGAAGGAAATGATCCACAAACACCCCTTGCCTTGCCTCGCCTAATTTTAACCCATCCACACCCACCAACCTAATATAGAAACATAGGTGAAAAAAATTATAACAGTTGTTCTAAGTGATAACAAAAAGGACAGGGAGCAATTGTTACAGAGAAAAAAAAATATATATATATAGTCTGCTATCAAATTCTTCGGTAGCAGCTTCCACAACCTGAAATTGAACAAATTCTCCATTAACATTCAACTTTGAGTTTGAGGAGAAAAGGTTCGGAAAATTTAGAAACATCAGAAGATGTTGCAAAATGATCTTCAGTTGTCCACTCTTCATCAAGAAAATTCATATTGATGTGTGTCTCAGATATTATCACACATTAAAAATTCTCAGTAGAACTTAGCACCAGGAAATTGACTGTCCACACTAGTTAAAATCAACCACCATATTCTAGAAACCCCAGTTCCTCACAGCAGCCTGCTCAATGACTTAATTAGAAGCTTCAAATTACGTCTCGTGGCTTCATCACCCGTGAACCCCAAAATATCAGAACTGATACTCTGCAGTAGATGAAAACAGCGAAGAAGTTTATACAAAATTGTTTATACTTCAATCACTAGATAATAATTTGACTCCTGCATAGTGCATACGTCATACCTCGATATTCTTCAAAGTAAATACCAGGGTGTATATTGATTTCTGAATCAATTCAGTGTTCTCTGGGGTCATAATCGAAGAATGCACCCTTCTGCAGTACATTAAGCTCCGTTAGCAACTACTCCAAATAATGCAGATAACATTGAGAAATAGTTTATTTCGTATCAGGCAAATTTTAAACCTTTTAACACTAAAGATTACTAAAGCGTATTAAAAAAAACCTGATTGCGTATCAATAACAACTAGTCTTCTGGCCCGTGCAATGCACGGGTTATTCATATAAAATTGTATTGATAGATAAATGAGGAAATATCAGTAAGTCATTATAGGGTAAATATGTAATCGGAAACATGATTAAAGAAATTAAAATTTTGGAGCTTTAATTGAAAAATAGGCTTAAATAGAAGGTGGAAGGGCTAAAATTAAAGAGAGAATAGAAAAAGGTTGAATTAAAGGGGAGAGATGAAGTGTGTATGAAAGATGAATTATAAGTTTAATGAAAGAATTTTAAAAAATGGGTGTAATAAAAAAATTAATAATGTAAGATGACATGTGGCACTATGGTTAGAGAAGTGTAATAGAATGGATGGGGACATGTGTCTTTCTTAGTTTATTGGTTATAGTTTTTAAATACTAAGTATAGATAGATATTATCTAAAGAAGGCCATCGTCCTCTTGTTTTGACATCCTTCTGAATCACAAAGAGTTTTCTTACCTAGTATAGCTTTCCAATACCACCATTGAATTCAAAGTCATTGATGTGAGTCCATATATACTAGAAAACATCAAAATAAGCCCAACATTTTGGCACTTCACTCCGGCATTAACCCATTTTATGTAATTGTTCTCTTTTACACTTGATCTCTTTGGGGGAAACAGCCAAACATTCACATGTCACTATGTACCAAATTTGAATCACCTAGTAATTTTCTGTTTTCAAAAATCTCAAAAGCGATATTTGAGTTCTGCTTACAAAAAAAAAATTAAAGATATTAAGAGTACTTGCATCATTTCAATCTTACCCAATGTTTGTCCTTTCTTTTTTGTTGTAAACAATTTCTTGAGAATAATTTTGAAAAGAATAAACAGACAAATTGAGGACAAGACATCTCCCTCTGAAATTACAGAAAATAATATTTAGATGGGAATGTTTACCTCAAATCTTCAGTTGCCTGTGTAAGGCTTTTAGTTAAACTTTCAACTTCCTTCAGCAAACCAGTGTCACGGACCTCCGACAACAAAGGTTGAATGTCTTCAGACATGGCTTTAATCTAAAGAATCACTACACCGTGGATAGGAGTTACTACAAAGAAATTCATTGGCAGTTATCCTTGATTATAAACCTAGTTGCTGATATTTCACGGTAAAACACATTAAATATAAACCAGTCTGGCAATCTACAATTCCACATAACACCAAAATCATACTTGAAGATCAAATAATTAAAAAAGAAGAAATGAAAGAAATCAAATGGTCAACGTTATTGATATGCATCTATGATAAAGCGCCTAGTAAAAAATACCTAAGATGTGTCAATTTCAAATAGACAAAATGCAAGATCTATAGTTTACAATGAAGGCGAAAGTTCTCCTCTCATTAATCTACTAATTAATTAGTAAGTGAACTCTTGGATCCTAGACATAGCAAGATCATACATCTAGGTCATAAGAGCATAAACAAAAACACTAATCTGTGTGCATTAATAGCCAGGAAGCTCATTCACGGTAGATCAAAACTTAGACAAAAATTGCTAAGCAGGGAAAGAAGTCTTTTTTATAAGTTTTTCATAATGACGTTCGCCATGGAAGTCCATATACCTCCTTTTTTTATTGCAACATTGGGAATTTTACACTAATTCACATACAATCCTTTTACCGTCTCTTTTGTAATTTACACATTATCAAAAATATAGTCATGTGGTTTGTCTCAATATATACTTTCAATTTTCAAAAAATCAACTTTATATAGTTTTTAAACTAAATTATAATTATATTATATTAAAGGCATAATATGTTGCAATTAAAAAAGAACAGGCACTAGAGTATAAATCCAAACGTTGCAATTAAAAAAGAAGCAATAGATTTTAATACCCCAAAATACTTAACATCCCCATGAAAACCATAGCTTACTATAGCCACTACTGACATCACAATACCCAATGCCTCTAAAAAAGCTCCCACCTAAAAGTAGGATATGCACACAAGTTTCACCCACATAATCGCAAAGAGCCTCTTTTAACCTTATTTCTAAGAATTGCAAGTGGAGTGAAAGACAGCTAGCTAGCCTAGTACTTCGAAGCAAAAGAAAAGAGAAGAAAGAAAAGACAGGTTACTAAGACATGATTTACCATTAGTCTTAAGTTAGATTATGCACTAGACACTCTTTAAAGTAAGTAGTCCACAGCTGGCTAAGGCAACAATGAAAGTAACAGAACCCAGTCCCACCTTAAAAGTCATCTAATGTTCTAAATTTTTCTTATGTGAGAACACTCTTTATGTTCTAAATTTTCACTAGTATGTTCTAAATTTTAAATCTAATGTTCTAAACTTTTCCTTAGGTGTTCTAAATTAAATCAAATGTTTTAATTTAGTACTCACATGTTCTAAACCATAAATGAGTTAAGTTTAATATCATAAATTTTAAATAAATTGTTCCAAAATTTTAACTTATATGTTCTAAATTTTAAAATGTGTGTTCTAAGATTTTTAATTATATGTTCCAGATTTTTAAGCGTATATTCTATTTTTTTACTCGTATATTCTAAATTTTTTACTCACACTTTCTATATTCTATATCAGTTTGTTCTAAATTTTTATTCACATGTTCATAATCTTAAATCAGATGTTCTAAATTTTACTCATATGTTTAAAATTTCATAAAGCAAATTTTATAAATTTTTAATCACTTGTTCTAATTCTTAAATCAAATGTTCTAAACATATTACTCACAAAGATGTTCTAAATTTTTACTCGTATGTTCTAAACTTTTAATCACATGTTCTAAATTTAAAATCAGTTCTCATATAAGTATGAATTTTCACATATGAACCTATTCTCACCGGATCCCTCCCCTATATATATATATATATATATATATATATATATATATAGAGAGAGAGAGAGAGAGAGAGAGAGACAACATTCAGACCACTAACATAGGCCATGAAACAATGCCATAAGAAACTTAATTTTTGGTTTTATAAAAAATAAAAAAATAAATAAAAAAATCCCTAAGACTTCCAGCTAAAAGTTTGCCCGCAAAATCCAACAACTGCAACCAACCTAATAAATGCCTTTTCCTGAATGTGTTCCATCTTATACTTGAAAAGTGGTGAGACAAAATAACTTGTTCTTTTATAATGACATAGTTGCCTCTCTATGAAATAAGATCTTTGAGACTAGGAAAATCAAATGGCATTGTTTATGATCCCTCTTGTTGCATCTACAGGTCATCAATATTGTGTGTGTTTTTGGCAATCCCCACAATCCTGCTATTTTAATTTGTTAAGTTGCAAGGAAATGAATATTCTGAAAACGGTAACCTATAGTAAGCCTCCATATTTTATAAGCTAGCTACCCGTATTACTTCCCAAGTTCCCATGAATACTTCTTTGTGAGTTAGTGAGAGGTATTCTGGGTGTACAACAGGACCCATGATATTGCCTTCATCTCAAGTGGAACAGGAAGGATTCCAATCCACTGTTGAGGTGCACTTTTATTTTCTACCCTATAAAAAACATTCTCCATATTATGACCCAACATAATAAGCTATTTAGAAGGATATATTCAGACTATGTACACCAATCCAAATCAAGTAGATGCCTTGAATTACAAGGGCATTACATTAGGAGGTGGCATCAACTTAGTTGCACCACAGGCACAGCACAGCAAGTCAGCCAAATCTGAACTTTTTTAAAGTCTAATTAGACAGTATCCATTCTTATAAATCTTGCATTGATAAATTAGTGTTACTCAGCTAAAACTCTTACAAGTTACAACTGCAACTCTTAGCAATCATAGATATCTTACAAGCAGGAAACCATACCTTTGATAACAGTGGTCTTGCTTCTTCAATAACAGCTGCAACTCTTTGTGCCAATGAATAAGTATTAGCAACACCAATCTCTTCCACTTCACGTCCAATGCGGGTAAATATTCCGACTAGTGCATCCAAACTCACTCCCTGTAATCCCTTAGTCGTTTGCCTGTCACAAACAATGAGGCCTTCCTTATCACATTCTGGATCAAGAGGCCCAACAGAAGGTGTTGGAATTGGATCTTTGGGAGTAATGTCGATCATAGTTTCCATGAGGAGACCAGACTGGTTAACTTCGACTGTAGAATTTCGCGGAATAATTATTTTATCATCATCCACCTACAAGCAAAGACAGCACAATTATGAGTATCTTATCAATATAGTTCCTCCATTCATATTAGATTGCAGTATCTGGGAAGTTGCAAAATAACATCACTATATTTGGCCAATGGTTCTCTCTATCACTTTCCTTGACACATGGGTCCTTTTTATTATCTTTCTCCACACTTAAATGCTGTGCATCCCCAACCCAACCCAATCCACCCCCCAACCCCCAACCCCCAACCACACCCTGTCCACACATAGTAACTGAAAGAAAGGAAAAGTAAGTTCACAGAAATTGGGTTAGAGTTCAAAGAATAGCGGCCATAATTGAGCAAAATTCAGTATTATATGTAGCAACAGAGAAGCATGAGATGACAAGTGCTAACCTCAACGACAGCTTCTATGCATTTCAAAGAAGAATTAACACGGATCACATTGCCAACATTCACTCCTCTAATCCTCACAGGTGTTCCAGCACCAATGCCACAAGCCTGAGGAAATTCAAATACTGCCATATACTTCCTAAATCTACTGCGAATCTGGAAAGCCCTTAACCAAGCCAAACTCAGCACAAACAGTATTGTACCCGAGACAAGAAACAAACCAACACCACCTTCCCAGATACTTCTCCTACCAAAACCAAAGTCGCTGAGAGGACGTAAAGTTTGCTTCCAGATACTACGAGGAACATCTAGAATAGCAGATATTGCAGATTTTGGTTCTGATGAAGAGGGAGGTTGGTTCTGCTCAGCATTAGATGACATAGCCTTAACAAATACTGCTCGTTTCTTACATCTAGAAGGAAGAAACGGCAAATGACTGCTTGAACAATGCCTGATGTTGACTAACGAAGATGTTAAACCAGCTGAGGCTGTCAAACCTTGGATTGCAGAATGCCCCGCCATATTTTTCAACTAAATATGAACAGATGTTAAGAAACACTTAGCCGGGGTATTAAGCAGCTAACCTTATGTGTACCTAGGCCTTTAATAGTATTTATGAGGCAATATCAACATGAACATAGCAACAGTTAGCCACCTCCCTGCTCTGCCTTCAGTTGCAGTGGCAAAGTTAACAGATGTCAAATGATATCGCCAGAAAAAAGTTTCTGCATTTGCAAGTGAAGACCAATTAAAAAAACAAGCTTCAAACATTACAACAAAATTATGAATCGCGACTAAGATGATCACAATCAACATAAGGTTTTTCACACAAGATCAGTTCAATCTCCAGAACATGATCACAAATTCACAATGTAATTCGCGGTTCGCAAAGAATTAGTTCCGATAGAGCACCCATATCTCTAAGGGCCACCACTGATGGCCCTGAGTAGGGCAAGAGTGGCAACAAGAGTACTAAACCTTCAAGCCGAGCCTAATGTTCGGACCCTAAGATCGGCTCGACTATTAGGGCTCAATTAGGATAAAAATTACAACGCATTAGCAACCAAATTTGACTCAATAATCAAAATTAGGGTTTAAAAAAAAAATCACACAAAATTCTTCTTGCTTAAGAACATCAATGTCAATTGCGCAAAGCACGATTCTAGCAACAATTTCGCTCGTTATGAGCTTTCATTTCTTCAGCTATTATAATTAATAGTTCAATAATCCACCTTAGAAGAACCCTAAATTGAGTAATTGCCGGAAATCAAATCAACGATACTCTGAAATTAAACCCTAGAATGTGAAATGAATTTTCGATGTTCACGAAAAAATGAAATAAAGAAATTGAACCTCAGAAGAAGCTTCGATGGAGGTGAGAGAGTTCAGAAGGCGCTTCAATGGAGAACTCAAAGTAGGCTTCAATGGAGGAGAGAGAGGAATGCAGTGTTCATTCCCACTCGTAAGGAAGATTGATGTGAATGATGTCACCCATAAACGAAGTATTAGATCTAATAATCAACGGTCAAAATTTAATCTCATATTGAAATAAATAAATAAAATAAAATAAAATAAAAAATTGTATCTCCAATTTTTTATTGAGAAAATACAAGTTAATTTACTACGTATTTGGATTGACGAAATAATTTACAGAGTACTCCGTAATCAAGATGGTAAAAAACTAAAAATCGACCTAGCCTCCTTTTCTCTCTTCTCTCTTCTAAACCTAGTCTCTATTGTCAATTTTAAAGTGGCTTTCTTCGGATTTCTTTTTTTTTTTTTTTTTTTTTGGTTAAAAGGATCAGAATTTAATTAATAATTAGACCACCCCTCTGAGGTAGCAAAAGGTGTACAAAGTCAAGCATAAGTCAAAGCATACAGAATAAGTTATCATGGTGGCGCAGCACCCCAATATTCATGCCATTTCTGGCCAAAAGAACTACAGTTTCCTTCAGAGATGCTATTACTGGGGATAGGAGGGGGGTTACAAAAGATTAATTTTGAAATCCAACTGTTGTCTTCCTTCCTTCTAATTTGGGTAGGAGTTAGATGCAACCTGGCTTGCTTGGCCTGGAAGTCTGCTTCCTTGACTTGCTTCCTCAAAACTTTCATAATGGCGCTGCTCCCTGAAGATGGCATTAGGTCCCTGCACCATATGGAGAATAAATGTCCTTCATCATGGGGGGAATTTATATCACAAATGCTATTGACAGCCCGATGACAGTTAGACATAATAAGGAAATTCATCCAGTTATTGTCCCTAGCCCAGTGTACAGCTGCTAAGATAGCAAATAACTCTGCCATATAAGAGTTTGGAGCTAAGCAATGTCCTGCCAGCCCCTGGATCCATTCCCCAGAATGGCTCCTACATATACAAGCTATACCAGAGGAAAGAGAGTTGAGGGAGAAGGAAGCATCTACTGTGATTTGGACCATCTGATCAGACAAGTTAATCTGTAGTGGGGGGTTGGGTTGGTTGTGTTGGTATGGCCATGGTTGTTGATAGAGAAATAGAAAAGGTCCTTGATGTAGTGAGTGGTAGAGGCCCATAAGCTGGGAAGGGGTTAGGATTTGTTGTTGAAGACCCAGTTGTTCCTTCTTAGCCAGACTCTTTTAAGAATGATGGGAAAGGAAAAATTCCAGGGGATTCCCAGGAGGTGAGGGGAAGTGCTCTCTAAGTTCTGGAAAATCCAGGATTGGATGTCAGGTTGATCAAAGTTGGAGGGGGGGTTAGCTACTGCCCAGATTTCCCTTTCCCTTGGGCAATCTCTTAACACATGTATAGCATCCTCAATGCTACCAGGGCAGAAGCAATAAAATTTTGAAGGTGTTATGTGTTTCAGGAAGAGGTTTTTGCAAGTGGGGAGTCTGTCCCACAAGCATTGCCATAGGAACATTTTTTATTGTGGGGAGAGGTTCACCTTCCACATTTTCTCCCATGGGATAGAAGGAGCTGCATTGGACTTGTTTTTCCCCATAGGAAAGAATATGCTTGATTTGCATCAAAGAATTTGCCTTTTGATAGGGAACAGAAGGGGAAGTCATCCCTCTCTCCTGTTAAAAGGAGTGGATCTAATTTGCTGCTGGATGTTGGGAGGAATAATTACACTCGTATTTTGAAGGTTCTAACCCCCTTCATCAATTATACAGTTGAGAGTTTGTGACTCTTCATGTTGTCTCAAAGGGCCATGGATCTGAGGGGTCTAAGGCCTATAAAATTATGATCCCAAAGGAGGCAGTGGTTACCATTTTCAATGGACCATTGGGTGAAGGACTGGAAAATCTCCCACCCCTGCCCATACCCTTCCAGATTTCACCGGTGGCAAGCCCCAATCTTTATTTTTCTTTTAAGCCTTTTGTTTTAGGTTACAATAATGTCTCCCTCGAAAGAAAGGGTTTATCTTCTTCGAAAGACAAGGTTTTTTCGATCTGCTTTGAAAGACAAGGTTTTTCGTACTCCTTCGAAAGACAAGGTTTTATTTGTGCTTAATTTGGTCTCCGGTTGTGCGGGACTACTATAGATTGTGGCTCAGATTCGACTTACGGAATCAGCACAAGAATTTACTTTCTCACAAAATTGCGAAGCGGCGACGGATCCACTCAAAAAGTTGTATGAGACAACGAATCGAGAATATGCCGAATTGTTATATTTATGTATTTGGATTCTTAGCCCTTCCCCGATTAATTCTTGTTTGATTTTGTTAAATTCGTATTTATTATCGTTCATTGTCAATTGTAGATGCCGTAAAGCTTATATTAATGTAATTTAGTGTCTTTTAGGACTTTTTTCAAGAAAAAAAAGAATAAAAAATCGACATTCCTTAAAAAAACAAAAAAAAAAAGGTTTTCCTAAGTTGTGCCCTTGTGAGTTTCTAAAGTGTGCCTACTCTTTTTTCAAAAATAGTATGCGCCCGTGCTAATGCACGGGTTATAACTATTAATGGGATTTAATAAATGAAATTATAACACAAAAAAAAATGATTAAAAAGAAAAGAAAATAAAAATATGACGTACATTATTTTTTTAAAAAAAGGTAATAAAATATCACATTTTAAATTATTGATAGGAATTTATGAAATTAAAACAGAAAAAAAATAGTGGAACTTATGGTGAAATTTAAAAAATACTTGCATAAAATTGAAATTTTAGGTAATCATAACTAAACAAATATTTAGGGCCCGTTCTGATTGACTGAATTAAGCTGAACTGAATTGAGCTGAATATTTTATAAGAGAAGGAAATTAAGAACTGAACTGAAAATAATATGAAGAGAACATACCCTTAAAGCAAAAATGATTGCTTAACCAATCGGACTACATAAAACCCAATACACAATAATGATAGAGGAGGTTTTCAATCAAAACAATATAGGAGGTTTTTAATCAATTTTGTTAAGTTGTATTTTCAATTCTGTTTTTCAAACTTGTTATTTTGGGTATTAGATGGATTATTTTTCTGTTTTGATTGTGTGGTTGTAATTACACTTGTTTAGGGTATTTATACCCTAGACACGTGGACCAATGAGAGGACGCACGTGTCGAGCTCAGGATGGCCTATGTGGCTCAACATCCTCTTGACACTTGGCGCCCTCAGATATGCCTCTGAAATGACGGCTTTCAAGGGCCCAAATCCCTAGAAGCGCCGTTATTCGGCGCAACCCACTGAAATTTAGATCAAGTGACCTAGGTAGGGGCACGTTATCCAAGGACCCTATAAATAGGGAGATATTTCCCCACTTTAGGGACACACATTGAATCATTTATTACACCTGCCTTTTCTCACATCAGAGAGAGACCTGATCTTGGAATCCAGGCAGATCCCCACCTAAATTTCCGTTCGCTTTATTTCCCTTCAAGTTACTGACTTGATCTTCGGAGGCGGAGCTCCAACCACCCGGAGTCTCCGTTATTTTGCAGGTACAGCTCAGCCGGATCAGGCTTCGTGACGTAACTCTCCCAAGGGACAAAAACACCCAAAATATTTGGCGTCGCCTGTGGGGAGAGTACCTCGAAGATGGTTCAAGAGTCTGTACCACCCCCTAACCGTCTGGGCGACGACCCAGAAGTCTTTACAGACCAGGAGGATGAGGATCCTCAGGTCGAAACCTTTACAGCCGATGATGGCTCACTTAGAATCAAGAGCATCCGGCCTAGAGATATTCTAGAGCAGGGTGCCTCCCAGGCGGGTACAAGTCGACCCCCTGGGCAGCCAGAAGGGGAAACCCATACGGCCGCTGGATCAGCACCTGTTACCCGAGACGAGCTCATGAGATTCATGACAAGTTTCAAGGGTGAAATTAAAGAGCTGATCACCCAGAGCCAGGCTGGCCCAAGTAAAGGTCAGTCGGCCAAGAAGACTCCTCTGGAAAAGGGGAAGTCAGTCAGAGAACGGCAGCCCATTCCTCATCTAAAGGAGAAGGCAGCCGGGACCATTGATTGGTCAAAAATTCTTCTTCCTAAGAGGAATACCAACAACACCCGCCGGACTCAGCAGCCGGTGGGAAGTAAAAAATCAACTCTTGATGTCCGGGAGATTATCAACCGGAAGAGAAATCAACAGTTGTCTGCATCGGCTTCTACGTCGAATTTTCCAGACAGCTTTAACAATACTTCTGTGGGGAATGCACCTTCCTTGCATGGGAGTCAGACAGGCGGTAATACCGTCCACTCTAGCCCTTAGATGATCGAGGTTGCACCATATGTACCTTCTCAGGTCTATGGTCAGTACCCACCTTACTATATGCAACCGACTCTCTTCGGAGGTCAGGCGGCATACCACAATGTCCAGCCACTAGACTGGCAGCTTCGTCTGCTCCGCCTGGGTGAACAACCTTCTGCGTTCACCTGGGAGATAACTGAGGCGGCCCAGCCGGCCAAGGTTAAGAATGTATTGGTTGGTACCTATGACGGTACCACCAATCCGGAAGATCACCTCATGGCTTACACCAACCTCATGTACTTGCAGGGGTTGGATGATGCCACTTGGTGCCGTTGCTTCCCGGCTACGTTGAAGGGCATTGCCCAACAATGGTTTGCCAATCTGCCAGCCGGGTCCATCGATAGTTTTAGGAAAGTTGCTTTCCTATTTGCTTCCAACTTCTCAATGAACATCCCTGCTAAGAAAACAAGCTTGGACTTGAGCACCATTAAGTAGGGGGAGAGAGAAGGGTTGCGCTCCTATGTCAGGCGGTTCAATATGATTAGAATTCAGATTCAAGGATTGTCTGATGAGGTAGCTTTTACAGACTTTTTCAAAGGTCTGAGAGACGGGTCGACTTTTAAGTTCGACATAGTCATAAAAGGGGCTTTCACCTTACAGGCGGCTCTGAGGGAGGCAGAAAGCTACATTCAAGCTACTGACCTCTGCTCGCCTGGTAACCAGTCGGACTCCAAGAAGTCTGACAAACAGAAAGACAGTCGGCCTGCCCAGCCGGCCAAAAAGAAAGAAGAAAGCAAGAAGAGAAAAGAAATTTGGGCGGTTAGTGATTCTGACCAGCCGTCCCAGAAGAAGAAGAAAGAATTTAAA